ATTTAGGTTTGGTAGATGGACGTGAGGGGAAGTCTAAAAAATGAGAAAGCGAGAAAAAGCCTTACCAAAATCCTCTCTTGAAGTTATCGGGAAGCTATGGATGTTTGTTTCGATTATTTCTTGATCTTTTGGTGCATAAAGTTAGGTTACATGCAGTGCGACGAACAAATTAAGGCTCTTCTTATTGAGTTGGAGCTATAAAAAGGGTTTCCCCACCTAATATGTAAGTAATATTATACGTGAAACACATGGACTTAAATTTGCGAACGGAGTGCGTATGTGCTTGCACATTTTATGCACATATATATTTTTACATATTAATATATTGTACATAGTTTTAATTTACTCTCTCAAGAAGAGACAAGTTTTCTAAGAAACCTTACCGGAGGAAACGCCGTGGAGATCACTTCACGTCCTTAAAAAGGATATTTTTACTTCGTAAATTTTAATGTTTACGTTATTAGAGTTTAGTAAATAATTAATAAACTTAATCATTTATATTTTCGATTACCAATTGGGATAGGTTTTTCTCAAAAATGAGATCGGTTCTTCTCGATACCAAAATCAGTTCGTCTCAATAGCGAGAAGACGTATTCTCATAACATATGTACCTTGTAAATTTCTATAGATTTGCCATTTTGGCCACGCCCACAAACCGCCCAAAACTGTCACGCCCACACTTTTAAAAAATGTAATATTTTTTCATTTTTGAAAATGTCTTGTAAATTTCTATAGACTTTTCAAAAAACTTTTTGCCATGCCCACTCCAACGCCCACAACGCGCTAAACTGTCACTCCAAAACTTTTGAAAAATGTGGCGATATTTTTATTTATATATTTAGTAAATTTCTAAAAAATTGCCGAAAACCTTTTTGCCACGCCCACTCCAAAGCCCACAAACCGCGCAAACCTGTCACGCCCACTCTTTTAAAGAAATTTTAAATATTTTTTTAATTTTTTTCGCAGTTAATACCGATATTTCAGAAAATGTTGAAATAATTGTGGGGGCAAGAAAGCCGCTGGTGGTAGGCTGCCTAAGGTAAACGCGTGGCCAGACCAATGCGCCATCCTCTCTTTCTACTTCTACTTTAGTAGAAACATTTCAAGTTAATTATATTCCTAACTCTCTTGGTCGGTTATTGGATCGATGTCTTGTTACCAGCCCTAAAAGTGTGTTTCTGTCCGGTGTAGCACGTCTTACTCAACCTGAAGATCCATATCATCCTACTTTTGAGGTGAACAGTCTCACTCTAAGGCGGTATAAAAGTTAAATCTCTGCAATCTTCACAGTTCCCCAATATATGGAGGGAGTCCTATGTGATCCCTCTCCATAAGATAGGCAAAAAATTGAATGCTTAATTACAGAGGAATTTTTAAATTGTCGGCTATCCCTAAGTTTTTTGAAAATAATATCACTCCTAATTTGCAGCACATTTGTGGGTCAAGTATACCATGTCAGCACGGTTTTATGAAAAGCAACCACTAATCTTTTGGGGCTAACTTCCTTTGTAATACATGGCTTTAAAAATAATCTTCAAACAGATGTCATCTACACTGAGTTTAGAAAGCATTTGACCCACTTTGCGTTAGAAAACTTGATTTATCATGTTGATATTGTAAATTTGATTTTAAGTCATCTGAATGGCAGGACGGAACGGGTCCTCTTTAAAAATTCCGAGTCACATCTGGGGTCCCACAATTTAGCCATCTTAGTCCGCTCCTTTTTACCTTATTTATTCACGACCTTAGTAATATGTGGGTGCTCTTAAACTTAAACTTAAATTTTCACACCAAATTTATTCTATTGTCAATGAGCCCAGCACTTGATTTTATAAAAAGGGGGGTCAAGGGAATTTAATGATCCTTACATGACCAAAACCTCATCCATTTCGCTAGTCCTTCCGATTCTTGAGTATGGATCACCTGTTTGAAGTCCACAATACTGACTTCCCTCTGACCACATGGAATCGGTTGGAACAGTCTTTATTTATAATCTTATCTTATAGCCGGCTAAATTTCTCTGTTCCAAGCAGATTCACTAAAAATGTCGTACCCCTAATTTTAAATCATTGTAGATCTAACTATGAGTTGCATGACCCCTTCAAAGTATTACGTTCTGTTATGATATATAATTGTTATTTTTAACACATAATTAGATCTTACTAATATTTACTAATATCGGCCGGAACGCGGTGGAGGGGGAAACACGCGCGAAAAAATTCTTTAATTTTAGGAGATTTTTTGATTTTAAATAAATCAATTTATAGACCAATAAAAAATTAAAAAAATATCAAAACATTTTCCAAAAGTGTGGTTGTGGCGGTAATTGGCCGTTTGTGGGCGTTAGAGTGGGCGTGGCAACATCATTTAACAAACTTGCGACTTTGACTTCGTCTCTGGAGTCGGCATGCCTAATCTCATCTTTCTATCTTCTATAGTTCCAGAGATCCCGACGTTCATACGGACGGAAAAGGCCAGATCGAGTCGGCTGTTGATCCTGATCAAGAATATAAATACTTTATAAGGTCGGAAATGCTTTTTTCTACCTATTAGATACTATTCAACGAATCTAGTATTCCCTTTTACTCTACGAGTAACGGGTATATTAACCTTACTGTTAACCCCACTGTAATAAATAAATAAAAATCTAAATAGAATAAAAACAGTTCTTTGGGCGTTGTGGTTGGCATATTGAAATTGCATATATAATTTGTTAAGACAAATATTAAAATGAAACAAAAACAAATCAGTGTGTTCGTGACAGTTTTGTCGGCACGCCTGATCTTAGCTTCCTTGTTTTTAGAGATCCCGACCTAGGTAGTGGTTCTGCATCGATGCGAGAAATACTTGCATCCTTTTCAACGAATCTTGTATACTCTAGCATTAACTGTCTCCTGTTGACAGCTATTAGCTTGAAAGTGGGCTATTGATGTCGTCCCAGAATGTACATTATTTTTAATGTCAGAAAAGATTTTTAGTGTCCAGATCGCTGAGATCCTAGTTTAGAAAACAATGTACATATGCCGCAGCACCTTGCATCTGGCCTGCTCGTGGACCTCCACCTGAGCTGAGGGCAGCGTTCTTTAAGGGTCCGGATCCTCTACGAAGTGGCGGATGTACGTTACTGTTTGTGGCGGGTTGTCGGACCGACACTCGCCAACACTTTAGGGCGCAAATTTATGACCGCTTTTTTCAGCTGCAGGTATGCGCTTTTCCGGCCAAGTACTTAATTGATGTTGCGTCGCGTAAATTATGAACAAAACAAAAATTAAAGTGGATTCCATGCTGCTCCTTGGCTTTGTCGCTGGTGCTGCCGGTTGCGGAAATGCTTTCATAGCAAATGGTGGTGGCGGCGGTCCCATAAAATAACAACGCACCACCGAAGTGGCGACGATACACGGATACAAGCTCACATCCTATCCCGCCTTTGCTAACGGTAGTCAAGAGACTAAGCAGGCTGCTGTGAGGTCAAGCACAAAAGTGGTGCTCTACTCTCCGGATGTCCATCTGACTCCTACAGCGCTAAACCCTTCCCACCTGGTTCGGTTCGCATAAATTTTCAACTTTTTGCATCGTTAAGTGTCTTTGAAAGGGATAGGGATAGTAGATAGGGCCGCAACAGTGCGATCGCGCGACGTTGTAAGTGTATCTTCGTTAACTAGCATGTGCTTCATTACCGCTTAGCCGTCAAGGCTTTCAACAATAATAACCATATACATCTTTTAGGTGCTTTTAATGTAATGCACTTTACACTTCGCCCCTTAATGATTTGTTCAATACATATATATACATATGGCAATTTATATATATGTGGCAATTTGGTTGCTTAGCGGGAATAACAAATTTGGTATCGGCGGATGTTTATGTCTATAAGTTAATTGTTTATGCTAACGCGGCCGGAGTTGTTATTGTCAATAAGAACTGCCGGCTTCAATCTGACATCTAAGAAAAGACAATGTTGTAAATCAATGGAATTTTTAAATTCATCGGGACCAACTGCTATGCCAATGCAGTGGATTGAGTCTTAAAGTTGTTTCTTTAATTATATTATTGCGAAATATTAATCTACTGTAACTGTGTAATTGTACCAGATGCTAAATCAAGAGAAATTCTTTTCATACCGCGTATCCCAATGAAATGCCATTTGAGTCCAAGCGATTGCCATATCCAGTAGGTTAAAAATTTAATATGTTTAATATCAAGAGCATTTATATATTATATTTAACCGTGTCACGTATTCTTAGGCAATTATATTTCTAGTGTTTCAATAAAAAACCGCTTGTTGCTGCAGTCAACTTCCTCGACTATCAGATAAATTGCAAGGAAATACAGGGCATTATTGAAATTTACAGCTTCGTCGTTACGATTTCTGGTCGTTCCAGTTCCTTGACTATCAGATACCCGTTACACAATACTAAGAGAGGAAAAATTTTCGAAATCTATAAAAATTACCAAAAAATAATAAAATTAATAATATAAAGATTTTCGACGGTTTGTGGGCAAAAGAAGGAGCGTGGCCAACATGTTTTTAGTAAACCGATAGAAAATAAATAAATAAATAAATAAAACATTTTTCAAATGTGTGGGCGTGCCAATTTTGAATGGTTCGTGGGTGTTCGAGTGGGCGTGGCAACGTTCTGAAACAAACATCCCTTACTTTTTAAAAAATGCTGAGAGCTGGACTTTTATACGAACGGGCAGACAGACGGAAATTACCAGATCGACTTCAATAATGATCTTGATAAAGAATAAACATGAATATTTACGGTCGGAAACGCTTCCTTCTACCTGTTGCATACTTTTCAACGAATCTACCATTTAACCTACGAGTAACAAATATAAAAATTGGTAAAGCAAAAAATTGAATTCAATATTCAACACAAAATAACTTTCAACGCGTATGCGTCATTAGAATCTGCCTAGTCTAGACGTTTATACGATCATACAAATCGCCACACTGGACTATAGCGCTGTTCACCCTTGATATGGTTTTAGGGTATAAACGAAAATTTATTTGATTGAAGACACTCGAAGGGAGCGTCCCAACGAAGTCAAGTTTCACTGCCGTTCACAAGTTGGTAAGTTTTGAATGCTTTACTAATTCTGGTCCTGCAGTCGTCGTTGGTTGTCTTTGAACTGCTGAATGGGGTCCTCGAACTGGCGATAATATCGCAGCACCTCCCTTACATCACTCACTTGGTGCTCGGCCACCAACTGCAGGAAAGCCGTGAGATCAAAGAGCTGAACATCATCGTCGTTACCCAGCCACTTTGTGAGTACCAAGCTATTATCGGGATGCAAGGGAGTGGTATACGGGTCACAATCAATAACTATCACTCGGCTCAGGTCCCTGTTAAGATAGTCGAGGTTCTTGGTATGCTGCCCCTCCACACAGTCCGTGGCACCTCTTACTAGCCGATAACTTATGTAGCCATAGGGATCCAAAGCATCCAGGAGGGGAAATGCGGTCATACCCTCCTCTGAAGTATATATTACAATTTCGAAATTCCGACTGCAATGCTGCAGGAAGTAATCCACACCGGGCCGCTTTTTAAACCGCCACCCCGTCTGATAAGTCCAATCCGGATGCACCAGGACGTCTTTGATTTCCAGGACCAGTGAATAGGGAGGTTGTATATACGGCGGTGGGACAACGTTTGGCAGCAACTTTGACATCTGGGGTTCTTCCACCATTTTTTCATAATACTGAAGTGTGTGCCACATCCTCATTAAGTACTGACGGAACCAGGGAAGATGACTGAATTCATCATCTATAGGACCCCGATGGTCTTCCTCGGGCTTACCCAGCTTGTAGATGGTCCACATAACTGTACTGAAGAGACTACCCAGTACAATACTGTAGGTATAGTAACTCTTCATGTTTCTCAACTTTGGTGGGGAATAGCTTTTGTCGCACCTCTGTACTTTTCTAGCTGCATTCACGCATATTTTGTCGCACGGACTCAGAAAACCTTTCTTTTTCCCGATGTAGCTGAACCATAAAATTTTATGCATTTGAGCGCGACGTTATTTTTTTTTTTGACTTAAAACACTAAGTCTAGACTTATTTCTGCTTTTACTTAGTTAAATAAATATTCATAACGCATCCAAAAATATTTAAACAGTTAAAAGTCAATAGGCGGCATTGCAAGAGGATCCACAAGTTTTCAACCGCTCTTTATTTTATATATTTTCATATTACCTTCGAAATACATATATTCAATTTAGCAAATTTAGTTAGCTTGTAAAAGCAACGAAGCTTATATACCCTTGCAGTAAATCTATATTTAAACCAATAGGGACTATCGACTGTCAGTTACCCATTACTCAGCTAGTGGAAATGGTAAAATTATACAATTTTGGGAAAAATATTAATACATTCATTTACATGGTCGGTGTAAATAACCGCGGTGTAAATAACAGAACAGCAAGTAGGAGCTGGTCAAATCAAGCTATGCCACTTCAGGTAGTCGATTTGTCATAAACAATCAAAATCCATTTAAAATTGTACATACAATTTGCAAGAACCACATTAGGGCGAGAAAGAGAGAGCGACAGAAGCCGCCAGATGCCGACACAGTCAACACCTCGTAAAGTGCGATGAGCGCTGGAAGTTTGGGCTGGTTGGTTCATTGGCGGGCCCTTTCCGCCCTCCACTTGTCAGCCAATGCGCCACGTCCCGGCTTGTCCAGCTCCCTGCTTGTCCTGCGCTTTCGAGTGTGGCTCAGTGTGTGTTTCTGCCCATTTACGAAGACCAGTGCCTGTGTATCGTTGATATGATAATTGGCATGAGGTAATAATCCACTTGAAAACGTTGGCAATCGTTTGTATCGCAATCACTGTCACGCCGCCTGCGTCTGCTGCGTCCGTGTCCTGCTGTCCAGTGTCCTGGCACCATAAAGTATAATTTTCCCAACCGTGTTCCCGTCGTCTCTTCGACTCCTGGTGTTCCTGGTGCTCCTGGTGTTCCTGCTGGTCTTTTCGTCTCTTTCGCTATTGAATGGGCGACATATTAAATAACAATGAACTGCAATTGCCCAACGAGTCTCGTAATTCGTTTGTAATGCGTGCAGACGCACAGATTTTAAGTAGTCAGCAGGCACATGTCCTTACAGAGGACTACAGTTCTACTTCCATTGCCATTTCCCCATATTTCCTGCATCCAATCGCTAGTACCGCCTTTTGCCGCCGCCTGCAATACCCACTTCATTGTCATTGCTTTCTTCTATGTGCTCTACTGGGTTTTGCCCTTCGCATGGCTCATAATTTCTGATTTCCTAGCTAGCTCGTTAACCAGTTAAATCTAATCACTTTTCAAAATTGGTTCGGTCTACTGGAGTATTTAAATCGGTTCCGGAGTTTATGCCAAAATGAGTGTGAGACAAATTCAATGTTTTGGAAATGACAAACTAGCTTTATAAAGTCAAAAGTAAGGGTTACGCTTAGCAATCAATAGAGGCATCTAGCTTTAAACAAATGAGACTAATTGGTTGCTTAAGAACGTAACTCTTGATTGTTATTATAATGCTCAAAAACGGTTTTTGGTCGCGTTTGTATATGTATATACATTATGCATTATCACAATCACTACGCGGGTATGCCTTTTATACCCGTTACTCGTAGAGTAAGTATATTAAATATGTATATTCTTGATCAGGATCAATAGCCGAGTCGATCTGACCATTTCTGTCCGTCTGTCCGTCCGTATGAATGTCGAGATCTCAGGAACTATATAAGCTAGTAAGTTAAATGTTGACATGCAGACTCTAGTGACGTATACGCTGAAAAAGTTTTGTATTTTTTTTTCATTTTTTTATAAGTTTAACCAATTTCTATCGATTTGCCAAACAAATTTTTGGCACGGCCACTTTAACGTCCACAAACCGCCATTAACTATCCCGCCAACACTTTTGAAAAATGTTTTCACATTTTTCCATTATTATCAATTTTAATTTGTATGGGCTTTGTTACGAGGCTATAGTCTGATAATTTTCGGATCGTTCACTGTCTCGGACGCGGATTCTAAGGCTCGGGCACGTTATAGATGAAAACTAGTATGTAAATGTAAATGTTTTTACATTTTTCCATTATTATCAATTTTAATTTGTATGGTGTTGGATAATAATGAATTCCAAAATTCAAAAATCCAAAAACTGTGTTATTACGCCATTTGTATTAGAGTCGAATTTGTCCTGCCTTGTTGGTTGTTATTATATTTACTTTGATAAGGATAATTTTGGGAAAGTGGCTATGGTCACTGATAATCTGATTTTATCATCATTTGAGAGTTTTGAGACTAATATAGGAATTATCTTTAAACATTTCTACAGCTTGGGTAAATTCTTTTAATTTAAGGCAATTCGAAATATCACGTTTACTCAACGTGACTAATATTTTTCGCGCGTCACTTCAGCTAATGAAACTAATACTGTGTTTGATTGATTATTGTCTACACTCTAGTTACATTCTACTTGTGTGTTCTTCTAATTCTTCAACAAATCAGCTATCATTCGATCTGGAGGCGTTGGACTGTTGAACTCGCTGATTAGGAGGGTTCCCGATTCCTTAGAGTCTTGTGATATATTCAGTAATCGGGTTCATCCGATTAGGATCCTATTCAGACATAGACACGTCTGAAGCTGCTGATGATGATGGCGTTTCCATCTCTTTATAGTAAGATATTTATACCAATTACTCATAGAATAAAAAAGCTGAGTGCGTCTGTCCGACCGTATGAACGTCGAGATCTCAGGAACTACAAAAGCTAAAAATTGAGGATTAGGCAGATTCCAGAAACATTGACGCAGCGCAAGTTTGTTTAATGATGCTGCCACGCCTGCTCTAACGCCCACAAACCGCCCAACACTGTCACGCCCACACTTACAATATATTTTAAAGTGTTTGTTTTATTTTGTTATTTTTTCCCCCAATTTCCACCGACATTCCACGTAATGTTGAAATTTCTTGTTCGCACTTCCACTAGTTGAGTAATGGGTATCTGATAGTCGGGGAACTCGACCATAAAATTCTTATTGTTTTGTTGCTAAAAAGCTTTAATTATTTTATGAACGTTTTTTTTTGCGGAGACAGATAATTTTGGTATTTTCACGAAGTGTTTTTTTTTAAGTTCTTTTTAATAGTCACTTGCGAGGTATTACTTGTATACTACTGACAGCTCCAATTACGTTTTTGTTTATGTAGTATGGATTTGAATAACTCCTATAGTCGTTATTGACTAGATTGAATAGTTTGCTTGTATGTCACATGCATACTTCTTGTAACATCTAACACAGAATAAAGAGAACGAGAAGAAAATGCTTAATTTTACGACGTTTGAGTGTGGTTTTCGACTTTTATACACTTTTCCTCAAAGGTACGGAATTTTTTAAAATATTTGAGTGTAATTTTGGATATTCCAATTCAATGTTTACAGATATTTGACTTTACAGATAATTGACTTTACAACAGTTGATTATGACAGTTTCAGAAGCTCGTCAGTTCTGTTACCGTACCGGGCCATGGACGTCTGTCCGTTTGTCTATCCGTATAAACGTAGAGATCTCAGGAACTATAAAAGCTAGAAACTTGAATCTTGAGACTAAGTATGCGGATTTCGAAGACATAGACGCAGCACAGGTTTGTTGACCCATATTACCACGCCTAGTCTAACGCCCTCAGTCCGCACAAAACTGTTACGCCCACACTTTTGAAAAATATTATTTTTCTTATTAGTCTTGTACATTTTTATCGATTTTCCAATACAACGCCCACAATCCGCACAAAACTGTCACGCCCACACTTTTGTAAAATGTATTACAACTTGTAAGTTTCTTATTTGTCTATCCACATTAAATCGATATGCTAAAAACATGTTGGCCACGCCTACTTTAACGCCCATAAGCCACTCATAACACCCACGCCCACAATTTTGAATTTATTTTTAGTTTTATTATTTATTTTCCAATTTCTAACGATATGCCAGTTTCTGATAGCCGAGGAACTTAACGTTCTCTCCTGTTTTTTCATTAGGCCTAGTTCATTTCTATTGATATGCCTATTCTACTTTAAACGCGCTCCTCCAACCCATTAAAAAGTGCACTAGTGTAAAATCTCGGAAGCGGTGCACATATTGCACACACATGTATGTATCTTTCTATGTGTTTTATATTTATTTTTATGTATTATAATATATATATGTATTATAATATATATTAGAGGAACTCGAGCTAGGCGTCTCTCTTGTTAAATGTCGCTGTTTTGTATAAGCTTTTCCATTGTTATGCCAGTGCAAATGGGCTTACTGATTTCAGTCAGAAATTTGAAACGAAGTCGTGGCCGTCCATTTAAAGAATATATATTCTTTCAGAATATATATTATTCAGTCTAAACAGCTAAGTTGATAAAGCAAGTCCGTACATTCGTTTCTAGGCAAACTAGTTTCTCAGTTGCATACAACTTTCCGAAAAGTCTTTTTATATTAGTCGGACTATATTCAATTATATTATATATTATTAATATAATATTGCTGCTATAGGAATATTAAAAAAAACTAAGAAAACAGAATTATTCCTTCCTTCTAAGTGATCTGTCCTGTAAGTATTCTGTACACACCAGTTTTTCGACAATGTATAATTTCGTTTTTAATTTTATCAACATATATGCTTAATATACGCGCTGTAGTATACAATAAATGTTTCTTTGAAACCGAGGAATGATTTAATACTGTTCGTGATTGGAAATGCGTACCTTTTATAAGAATCGAATTTTGGGATAAACATATTCAAAATTTGTAAGCACCTTGAAGACCATTAAAGTGGCCATGGCAAACGGATATATATTTCTAACTAACTTGCCCCAAAACAATACGTAACTAGAGGCACCAACATTTCCCGCTAATAAGAAATAAAATGAACACCTCTATTTTTCTTTAGAGGTTACAAAAATAAACTTTTTGCCCAGAAAATAATTCTGTAACTGGAAATAATTTCTTGTATACCCACCCCCAGGTTCTGTCATCACATTAACGGGGCTTCCCAGGCTTAAAA